CAGCGGGGCCTCCCCGCGCCCGGCAGGGCTCGGAGCCGCGGCTCCCCGCGACCGGCCCCGGCGCCCCGGCACACGCGTGTCCGCGGCCTGGCGCGGGGCCGCCGTGGCGCTCTGTGGAGCTAGAGGTGTTGCGCGCTCGGGTGTCTGCTCGGAGGTTGCGGCCGGTGCTGGAGGAGCTGCGGGGGGGCCGCGTGCAGCGTGGGAGAGAGAGGGAAATCCTCCCCGGGGGGCAGTGCTTGGAATGTTATGATTTGATGACCTTATTTTCACAGTAGGTGTCTGGGGGTTCGTGTCGTGCTTGTGCTCCGGGAGCTGCTTTCCCGGGCCGCGCCTGTGCCCGCTCTGTGCTGAGCGCGTTTTGCCCTGTGGGCTGGAGCTGCTGCTGCTGCTGCTTCCCCTCGGCCCGCGCCGGCAGTGCCCTGCACCGGGCAGCTCCCGCCGTGGCCGGAAACGGTCCCCGTTTTGGGAAGAAGTCTCCCGAGTCCCGCGCTCCTTCCGTCGCTCTGCTCCAGGTCCTCATCCTTTGCCTTGGCACAGGGCCCAGGCCCCCTGGCTCCTTAGAGCTACCGAATCCCATCAACATCGCTCCGAAAATCCCCTTTCCTCCAACACTGCTCCGAAAATCCCCTTTCCTCCCTGGTCTTCTGTGAGTGCAGCTTGTCTAAGAAGGATGTGACAGCAAACAGTATGACTTTAAATCCTGTTCTCCTTACATAGTTGGGTTTTTTATTAACAAGCGCAAGCAATAGTTAATTAACAATTAACTATTTATTAATAACAATATTATAAATTTTCTTTTGCTGAAATTCAGTGTTTTTTGTTTTGCTCTTGTTAAAAAAGAGTCTAAATAAAATCAATTTGCTAGAAGTTACAGTTCTAAATGCCAAGCATAGGCCAGGTAGGAAGATACTGAGGTATTGCAGCTGTAGGTGCTTCACAGGTGCAGCTAGATGTATGCTAGGATATTTACTATAGAAATACTTTATAAAGGGATTGTTGTCATGCTGTGTTTTTGTGTATGTGTGTTCTGTTTTATAGCTGGAAGGCCCCTGTTGTGCAGTCTTACGTACAGAAGCAGTGCCAAACTTTGGGTTGGCAGTGGTGATATAAAGTAAATGGTGCTGCGGGGTAGTGATGCTGGATGCAAAAGATAGAGCTATGCAGATAATTCAAAATGAGCAGGTGAAAACAGGCAGTGAAAGGCACTTAGTCGAGTCTTACGAGCAGTGACACTCATAAACTGCTGCCAATAGATGTTCTGGATATTTTAAGTTCTTTTTTAAACTCAGTCTTTTAATTGAGATATGGTAGGAGTTGTACTCCCATATGCCTCACAATGTTTTGCTCATTGTAGACCCTGTTTTGGAATGGAAAACACCCCCTGAGTTGTGGAAATTTCAGAAACCTCTGTACTGTGTTCATGTCCCTGGCTGATCTAGCCTGTGTCCCGACAGGGGCAATTCTAGCTTGCAACCCTGAGGGACAAGTGTTTTGAAGTGACAGAGCTGATCAAGCATCTCTTGAACTTCC